CACAGCACTGCAACGAGGAGGAAACTGAAACAAACCCTATACCAATCCATCTGGCCAGCGTGGTATAGTAGGCCAAAACCTCTTTTCTATGGAGAAGCTTATGTCCAGCAGTGGACTAGTAAAGGCTGTGGATAGATGATGATGATAGTAGGTGGAGAAGACGATTTTTAATATTATAAATAAGTAAAAATCAACCGCAATCGACTTTTAACAAAGCATCAGCGACTTAGGTGATTTTATATGTAGCTTACTATACTAAAATTTTAGCCGCACATAAATCAGTAGCTACACGTTGTAAAGAACAATGTTTGAATAGTAAACAACGACCTTGTTGATTTTTTCATTCAATAGTATTAATATATGAAATAAAATAATGAATTTGTAACAAGAACATATTCCTATATATTTTGAGTTGAACAATGAATTTTTTGACGTGTTAGCTCAATATTTTAGACAATAAATTGCATTTGTTTTTACAATTTCTTTAAACTTTTATGTAATTGAATGAATCAATTTTAAAAATAGAAAATATTAAAACTTATAGTTTTCAAATAGAGCTCGAGTCGTAATATAAAATCAATATGTTAAATCTCTGTTTGTTTAAAAGTGCACTCAATTAAAATATTTGAGTTTTGGTAAAAATAATCCACAATATTTTTTTTAATAAATCATCGATAGCCGCCCATCTCTAACGGACGTATCATTGTAACCCTTCCATAAAGCGTCGGTACATCTGACCCAGGGTTTAACCTTCCGATGTATCTTGGCAAAAACTCACGCGTACTTACACGAGTTTTCGCTTACCGATATATTGACTTTGGGTAAAGATTTTTTTTTCAGGGTTTTCTGTCGTATTAGAAAATGGAAGGGTATATATTTGAGGGTTGTGTGCGTGATTGAAAGTTATTGTTGTACTAAAAGATAGGCGATAGGGTAGTATTTTATCGATAAACACTGTTTTGTGACCATTTATTTTCATTTGTACGTATAAATAATGCGGTTACCTCAGTATTTTTGTATTTCAGGTAAAGAGCAAAGAAACGTGATCTATTTTGTTTTAGATAAAAAGGTTTATTAAATTACTGAATGAAATGAAAATAAAGGAAAGTTTTTTTAACTATTTTTTATTAGTTTCGCGTACCGAGTACCACGTTTCAACGCACATGGGCCCACTCGATCGGACTGACACCACGGCTTCACAGGAAACCGGTGTCATGCATCACCTAGTGATTAAAGTTAGCGGAGCCCAAACCACTCCCATTCCCCTAATTCTGGGATGGAAACTCAAAGGGCGGTGGCTTGAGACTCTTGTGATGCACGTGTCCACGTGACGGTAGTCACTAAACATCAGGAGACCCATTTGTCCCCCCCCCCCCCTCTTCTTTGTAATAGAAAACAAAATAAAACCTTCCAATTAGGAGCAGTAATTTGAGAAGCAGCTTATTTAAGTATTATTAGGCAATTAGGAATTATAAACTTTTATGCCATCGTTAAACTGAGATAAACAGGGGTAGGCAGTAAAGTTAATGAATAGAAAAGCTGGTGGCTGTGTCTTTGTACACAAAACCCATATTTTTATAACAAAGCTGAGGAAAACAGCAGACGGATCATCTGATGGTAAGTGACAACCGCTTCTCATGGACTCCTGCAACTCTAAGAGTCACAAGTGCAGATCGTTGAGCCTTCTCCTCACCCCTATTCAAAGGGGAAGGGGGGTTGGGTTCTAATATCAAAAATGACGAACTTCTATACAACCGTTGATCCTTTATTTTACCCTCTTAGGGGTGAAATAAATAATGATAATAAATAATATATCTTACACATCTCACACACGGCCGTCTGATCCCAAACTAGGCAGAGCCTATACTATGGTAACCAGACTGCTGATAAACATACAAATATATTCCTAAATACATACATATTATAGATAAGTTACACCCAAACACAGAACAAATGACCGTGCTCATCACACAATTATTTGGCCTGGGTGGGAATCGAACCCACGACCTCCGGCTTAGCAGTCAGGGCCACTGATAACTAGACCAACGGGGCCGTCGAATTTCCAAAAATCCTTTTTTAGTAGGTACACTAAAATTTCCAGCTTGTAACCCCAGTGGTTTAGACTCTGTGTTGATGAATCAGGCAATCTGTATCAGTTTTCGTTATTATCTTTTTCTCATGTAAGTAAATTTATTTTAATTCTCAGTGAAAATAAATATCTGAAACCAAATACAAGCATGCGGGTTCGATTCCCGCTCAAGTCAAACATTTGTGTGCATGAACATTTAATGTTTGATTTGGTCTGGGTGTTTCTATGTATAATAAGTACCTATATATTTGTAAAAAAAAAAGTATATATGTATTTATATCAGTTGTCTAGTAGCCATAGTACAAGCTTTGCTTAGTTTGGGACTAGATGGCGTTGTGTGCATGTGGTACAATATTATTAATATTATATTATTTATTTATTTTAATTCTTAGTGAAAAATAAATATCTGAAACCGAATATAACCATACCTAAATAAAACGACCCAACTTCACACCAGCTGCATACTACAACCAACCTTCACGTTTTGCTACCATAAACACCTAAATATGATTCTGTACCCTAAATTTTCACCTTACAACCCTCGGTTTCAAACCAATAACGGAGTAAGAATAATAAAAAATTCACATCAAATTGAAGCTCATCCCCTACTTGAGGGTGTTATTAGAGAATTTATGAGCGGGAAGCCCGAATACCATATTATATTTTATTATCCGGCACAAGGTTTATATTGCAGCGATAAAATATATTATGCAGGATAAGTTAAAGAGATTGAACCTATGTACTAATGTAATTATTCATGAGCATTCTACAGTTAACTTTTTTACTATTCTCTCAATAAATTAAAAAAAAAAAACACAAAAAGTGGGCCATTTTTTTTTCTTTTTTTCATTTTTATATAATAACTAGCTGACACCCGCGGCGTTGCCCGCGTTTGTTGTTATAACCGCGGGCAACGCCGCGGGGCGAAGCTAGTCTAAAGAAAGTAGCCTAAGTTACTCCTTATGTCATCAGCAATCTGCCAGTGAAAGTCCCGTCGAAGTCGGCCCAGCCGTTCCAGAGATTACCCGGAACAAACAGACAGACAGACAGACAGACAAAAATTGTAAAAAATGATATTTTGGCATATGTACCGTGTAAACATACATATGCATTTAGTAAAAAGCGGTTATTTTAATATTACAAACAAACACTCCAATTTTATTTGTTTGTATAGAAAAGTTAAGTTGGTTTGTTTACGCTGCAAAATCTCAAAGGTACCTACCGTGGGAGAGCCATGCTTCAGCACGAATGGAGGAGTGATATCACCGCCTCACAGAAAACCGGTGTTAAACAATTCTTTCGTTGCCTTTCACTGAGTGAGTGAGGTTACCGAGCCCAAATCCCCCCTCCCGCTGAGAGCGAGAGGGACTCCAAGGGCGGCAACGCACTTGTGTCTTTTGAGTTGCAGGTGTCCATGGGCGGGGGTAGTTGCTTACCATCAGGTGACCCGTCTGCTCGTCAGCCCCCTTATACCATAAAAAAAAGGTTCTGCATCAATTGAGCTCAAATTTCAACACGATATACAACCCACTTTAAAGAGTGTTTGTCCCTCGTTTCTCATCAATGCCACCAAAATGTGCCATAACGAAACATGGCAGGGTATAATAATCTTCAACAAACCTTTACTTGTCCACTACTGGACAAAGGCCTCTCCTTAGAAAGGAGGTTTTGGCCTACTATACCACGCTGGCCAAAGATGTTGGTATAGGGTTTATGTCAAGCTTTCCTTCTCTCTGCAGTGTTGTTGTTCTGCGTAGCTTTCTCCCTTAGTCGGCTCTTACGACACCCACGGGATGATTGATTGTCACTACCCCTGGGTAGTGACAATCTGTATTCTTAATCCGTCACCAGACGGACACGGACACCACACCAAAAATTGACACATCTCACACACGGCCATGCTCCCAGGCCATGCATGATCCCAACCTAGGCAGAGCCTGTGCTATGGTAACCAGACTGCTGATAAACATACTTATATATTTCTTAATACAAACAAATTATAGATAAATTACACCTAAATACAGAACTTATGCTTATGACACAATTATATGTCTCGGGTGGGAATCTAAGCCAAGACCTCCGACTTAGCAGTTACGATCACTAACCACCAGACCAACACGCCTTTTCCTTATACACTGAACAGGAATTGAACCCCCCAACTTCTCATTACAAGTTACCTTTCTTTTTTATTCTACTCCACCTGCTTTTGAACCTACTAAAGATTTATAACCTCATTTCAAACTCGACCTTTTCAAATTTGAATTTATTCTAGAATAAAATTCCATTTACATAAGGTTTTAAAGGGCATATGTGACATTTAGCTGGTAAACGATATTGACCTTTGCTTGTAACAACAGTTGTGCCGTGAAAGATAATTATGCATTATCAATAAAGCAATCCATAGAACTTTTAAATGTTAGAATTACAATACGAGTATATTTATGTAGATATAGTTTTTTCCAAGCAGATCATCATCCCCTGAGCCTATTCCAACACTAGGATGAGTTCGTCTTTCAGTCTATCACGACACGGTTGATTTTTACGTGGAGCTACTAAGTCGGGGGGGGGGGGGGGTGTCTACTCGTCTGTAGATGGCCCGAGGTATGTCGGGGCACCAGGGACTTCCTTTCTAGGGTATACCTGGTTCCCCGGCTAGTACCCGAGACGGCGTGCGGTTTTAGTCGGTTCGTGTCCGACATGCCACCGGTAGGTGGTACCGAGGGGATTTCCGCACAGAAAAAAAAAAGGGGATATCAAAGTTCTGTAGATAGTAGATCCAACTAAGCGTAATGATTGCCACAGATGTTCGAACCGACCGATCGACCATTGATAGACTGACCTCGCTAGCATTGCTTAACTTTGCATTCTGTTAATCTCACTTAGTCACGTAGTCATCCATAAGTAATATTTATTAAATAACTAAGTACTTACATATTACGGTGAGACTGGCGTTGGCCCTTATGACCTTATGCATCTGCGCTGGTCCCACCTGGCACTGGTATTCAGCATCGTCCACGAGCGTGGCGTTCACTATACGAAGGTTGTAAACACCGTGGCGCCGGTCACCAAACATTGTGTAACGAGGGTACCCGGGGATTACTGAAGAAAAGCCTGGGAAAGAAAAAAAAATAGTTTTCATTTCAAAGATCTGTTTTATAATGCACAAAAATTTATTCTGCATCCCACAACTGCACTGCATTCCATAAGTTAAATTTCCATGGAAAGATTTATATATGTACTATATTAAACACGAAAAAATATTCTGCATTCCACAACTGAATTGTATAATACATTTACTGAAAATAAACATGTATTTTCTTTAATTTTTGCATACCACGAAAATGGTAAAAAAGCATGTTGGGAAGTCACTATTATAATGTAACACCAATATAAAGTACTAGCTGACCCTGCAAACGTTGTTTTGCTACTTACATTATTTATTTATTTTTATTTTTTTTTGAACTTCTTAAAATCCGTTCTTAGCTGGCCTCTACTCGTTGAAAAGAATATTTCTACCAAATTTCAAGTCTTTAGCTCTAATGGTTCCAGAGATATCGTGATGAGTGACTATATACGTGGAAATCTCTTATATATAGATAGATTTCACTCCTAATATTGCAAACCTGCGCTCATTTCATATATTCCACATACGTTACTGACCCTGCACTAAATCTTTTAATACTCGCTTGCAAGCAGATGACCCCTTTGTTGGTTCCCCCCTTCCCCCCTTTAACATTAAAAAACACTCTACCTCACGCTGTAGTCATTTAAAAAAGCCAATACAATATACATAAAATAAAAAATACAGCTTCATTTTATTTTAACTAGTCGTTTCCCGAAGTAATATCAACATTTATAGTCACTGCACCGCTTCTAATTGTCGCAGCGTGATGTTAAGTGCCTATAACCTTCCTCAAGAATTGTGCTATCAAAGTAAGGAGAATAGTCTAAGCAGAATAGTAGTTCATAGAATTAAAGCGTTCAATTAAACGAAAAACAATACTAGTGGTATACTGTTGAGTTACAGGCGCCCGTTGACGGTGGTGGTCACTTAACATCAGGTGTCTCGTCTGCTCTTTTTCCTTCTATACTGTACTTTATCAAATATTGTGTGATGGGCACAGTTATTTGTTCTGTATCTGGGTGTAATTTATCTATAATATGTACGTATTTAGAAATATATGAGTATGTTTATCAGCAGTCTGGTTACCATAGTACAGGCTCTGCATAGTTTGGGATCAGACGGCCGTGTGTGAGATGTGTGTGTGTGTGATATATATTATTGTTTTATTACTACAGCTATTTCTCTGAATAAAAAGGCTGTGTAAATTAGTATATTTGTCATGCATTTCCACCTAAACCATACAACCGTTTACGATGACATTTTATACATATGTTCTGAAGTATACAGTTACGAGCACAGGTTATTTTGCATCCCCACATTTTAAAAATTTATAAAACTCATTTAAACGTAGTTACGGAAGATTAGATATACTTCCCAGTTTGGGATCTGAATTCTGAACCTTATAAAAACAAACCCAATATTCTGACAACAACACCAAAACATCAGTATGTTAGTTCTAAAAATCACCAGCTCCTGAGAAAAATATCACAAATTCCATCGTCGACTCATATTACATAAAAATAATCGATATCGCGAGCGGAAATCGTAATTATAGAGCAAAACTTTTATTCCTGCACTAATTGTTTTGTCACAGGCTTATCGCAACGATATTCAACCGTACGGTTAATCGAATCGAATCGACATCACTAGTTTTTAGTCACGCAATCGGATATATTCCATTACAACTAAACTTGAGTCATTTTGATGGGCCGGTTGGTCTAGTGGTTAATGACCCTGACTGCTAAGTCAAATGTCGTGGGTTCGATTCCTATCAAGGACAAATATTTTTGGGATGAGTACGTTTGCGTCGATTGTATTTTACCCATAATAATGTATGTATTTAGAAAATATATATAGTTCATATTTAATACCAATACATAACTGTTCCATTTGATAATAATAAATATTTTCGGACATAATATGACACACATCGCCATCTAGTTTCAAATTAAACAGAGCTTATACTATGAAATCAAGATTGACTAATAAAATACCTTTATATTTTTTTGTAAATATATACATATTATACATGGAAAACACCCAAACTTCAAAACAAATATTTGCAGATCAAGCAAACATTTGGGAATTTAACCCGAGACTCACAGCAGTCGCATACGCTACCACTGCACCATTGAGGTAGTTAATACATATAATACTGTATATATATAATAGACTTATATAGAAAGACATTGTCATTTTCGTACAATTTTTTTAGGCGATTTTCTTCTCTTTAAAAGAGAAGAAAAAATTCTTCTCTTTTAAAGAGAAGAATTTTTTTAGGCACTATTTATTATTTAAGGACTAATTTTTTAAACAAAAATGTAGGTCGAATTGTCAACATAAAATATTTAATCCCGAAGAAAATATTTAGCAGCGTGTTCATTGAATCAAACGTACAAAATAATTCTTCAAGATTTAAACAAAAAAAAATAATTCTATGCTAGTTATTATAATAATAATTTATGTATATGTTATTAGTTATTAGTTAGTATATTTATGTTATTAGTCTCATCATCATCATCAACAGCCTATACTAGTCCACTGCTGGACATAGGCCTCTCCTTAGAAAGGAGGTTTTGGCCTTCTATACCACGCTGGCCAGACGGGTTGGTATAAGGTTTGTTTCAAGTTTTCCTTCTCTTTGCAGTGCTGTTGTCCTGCTTAGTTTGCTCCCTTAGTCGGCTTTTACGACACCCACGGGATGAATTGGGGTGGTGACAATTTGTATTCTTAATCCGTCACCACACGGTTATTAGTCTACGAATACATAATTTTAAATTAACATATAAAAGCAAGCGTCTTTAATTTTACATCAATTTAATGTACTGTAAATCTCTAATATATCTGTGGTGTACTGTTATAAAGTATATATATACTTACCAAGTGCAAATCCGTCCTTGGCCCACTGCACTTGCCCTGCAAGGTTGGCTACTGCACATTCCAGCACTGCTTCTGAACCCTCTTGCACCCTCAGACTTCGAGGCACTACCCTAAAGTACTGCTGCTGGAAACCGGCTGCAGATACTAGCACTGCAACAAAAGATATCACATTTTAATGAGAGAATTAGCCAATAGTCACGACGAGTCCATGATTGGTACAGTTAAAATCACTATCTCCTTATATTTTCAATATCATTCAATCTGAATCTCATACTCTATTATTATGAAGATCAAAAATTAGACATAAATATACGAGATCAAGCGAATAGGTAGGACGAAATTCTAAAGATAGCGGGGGAAAACAAGACGGAAAAGGCAATGGACAGAGACAAGTGGGGGGAAAATGGAGGAGGCCTTTCTTTAGGAGCGAGGTCCTTAATAATATTACTGACAAAGTAATAAGAATAATTCAATACATTAATGAAATTAATTACTAAATAACCGGTGTCAAATAATAAGTAATAGTATATGGAAGTTAATGTATATATATTGTTTTCTTAATATTTTATTTATATTCAAATGAAGAGTTGAATTGAATGGAAATCAAATATTGTAAATGTAATTTTAAATAAGTATATACGAGTATATTTAATTGTAATTGCATTTTTTAAGGAAAAAACAAGGCTTAAAATAATAATAAAATAATACGAGTATCAGATAGAGGAGGCAACTCTTAAGATTCGTTTATTTTATTTTTTATAGACAACTCCTTTACAAACATACATGAAACGGACAAAAAGAACACCCAGACTCAGAACAACAATTTGTGGATCACAAAAAGTGTCGTCCCCGACACGACATCGGACCAACAACACTCAGCATAGTAGTAAGCGGCGTAGCGACCGCTTAAACCACTACGCTACCGTGCAATCAAAGATTACGACTATGAGTTTGTTGGCCCTTCTCATAAGGTTCAACCCCTTGGAAACGGATTTTAAGAAATTCAAAAAAAATATTAAAATAATGTAAATAGCAAAACAACGTTTGCAGGGTCAGCTAGTACATTTATATTGCTAAATACTTGACAAATAGCTGTCAAATTATTCCGTGCCGAATTCAAACAACTTTCAAAGACTTTTATAAAATAAAGATATTTTGACTTAGACTTCCTTTCTAAGGAGAGGCTTATGTCCAGCAGTGGACTATTAAAAGCTGTTGATGACTTAGACTTACGCCAGTACTGGCGATACATATTTCCTTCTATTATCTTTAATTTTTACGAACCAACCATCTACTAATATATGTTGTAATGCTCATGGCGGTCAGTAAGATTAGGTTCTATGTGGATTTTTTATGACTTATGACATAGAGGCAAACAAGCAGGCTGTTCACCTTATGGTAAGTGACTACCACCGCGTATTACACCTGCTACTCAAGAGTTAAACTGTCATGATGCGACGCAAATCGACCGGAGTCATATCACGTCCCTGAAAAGGAAGTCGGCGAAGGGGGGTCTAAGGGAGGACTAACAAATGATGTTAATGGACTTTGTGACTCTTGAATTATAGGCATCCATGGGTAGCGGTAGTCACTTGCCATCAGGTGCCAGCCTATACCATAAAAAATAGTAACGTGTGTTTTTTAGCCCTTTTAGGCGGGTGCACTTAAGTTGTTACCGGTATAAACACAGCATCAAATAAACTAACCAAATTAAATATACGTATAGCAAACCATAAATTTAGAACAACAGTTACAACACTAGTTATTTCTGTAGTCCCCCGCAAAAATGACCCACCAAGAGAATCATAAAACAGACTCATATAAAACATATGCCCAACACATGTGGCCAATCAGCTTAGTGCCAGCAACAAAATAAAATGAATATATTATTACATTCATTTATCAGAACGAAACATAAGGTTTATTGGTAATAATGCGACAGTCTGAAGTGGGTGTTGAGTGGGTACGGCGGGACGAAGAGGTGAATGTACGGGGAATATGTCACGTTGTTAGCGTTTAGCGATAAGCGAAGAGGAAGCGGGAAAATGAAACGTACGGACGTAATGTGGGGCAAACCAACACACGGATCACCTCAGAAGTCACAAGTGTGTTACCAGTATTTAAGGTGCGAGTACGTACTTTTCGTGAAGGTTTGCTCCGCTTTTCGGTCTGGAAATACCGTAAACGACAACTGTTCTCTAGTTGTGTGAGGCAATATACCTTGAAGAGCGCACAATGCGCTCGATTAGTTGTACTGTGTCTGGGTATAATAAAATTTATCAGCAATGTGTATGTATTTACGACGACGACCGAATGGCGTAGTGGTTTGTGTAACAGACTGCTATTCCAAAGGTCGCGGGTTAGATTCCCGCTCAAGTCAAGCATTTGTGTGCATGAACATTTAATGTTTGATTTGGTCTGGGTGTTTCTATGTATAACATGTATGTATTTACAAAAAAAAAAAAGTATATATGTATTTATATCAGTTGTCTAGTACCCATAGTTACAAGCTTTGCTTAGTTTGGGCGTAGATGGCGTTGTGTGATTGTGGTAGAATATTATTATTATTATTATTATAAATATATAAGTATTTTCATTAGTAGTCTGGTTGCTATAGTACAGACAGGTTTTCGATGTTAATCAAACTGCCGTGAGTGAGATGTGCCAAATTTCTAACTCATAAAATCGCTTTCACTAGCACTGTGACCTGACAAGAGTATCATACAAGTCCTGACTGAGGGTGTCTCCACACGTGCGCTAAGTGCGTGAAATTAACCACGAGTTGTAGCGTGATGTTAGGTAGTGTTGTAGCTAGCCTGTTATATTTGTATCTGCACGCGTTTTGCATTCTTTTTTCTTTTTGCTTTTTTCAAAGACATCTCCCGCACTAGGAGCATGCCCTGTGTCGCGGGGAACGTCACACACATACAGAAAACGGACATGAATAACATCCAGACTCAGAACACGAATTGCGGATCAATACTTTGTTGTCCCATGTGGGGATCGAACCCTCAACACTCAGCGCATTAGGGAGCGACAAGGTGACTGCTGAAACCACTACACCATCCGTTTAGTCAATCATTTCATGCATTCTTAGGCTTACAGAGTTCAGGTTCGCCGGCTACAGTCAGTTCGACTCTAGGTATGCAACCCTTTAAAAAAAAAACTAGTAACAACTCAATTCAACCCTGACTTAAACGAGCAATTGGGTATTAGCAAGACCTTTTCCTTCCATTTCCTTCCCTTCTTCACACTAATATTATAAAGACGAAAATTTGTGAGAGTGAGTGTTTGTATGTTTGTTCCTTCTTTACTCACAAACAGCTGGACCAATTTTGATTAAACTTGGTATGGATGTAGCTGACATCCTGAATGCTGCTGAATGCTGACACACAAAAACTGCTTTTAATCCTAAAAATATGCAGTGTTCCCGTGGGATGAGCAAGGAATTGCGAATTGCGTTAGCGACCTTGACTGCTAAGCCGGAGGCCGTGGCTTCCATTCCCACCCAGGACAAATATTATGTTTTGTATTGTGTAATTTATTTATAATATGTATCTATTTAGCCCAGGCTCTGTTTTGGGATCAGACGGTTGTGTGTGAGATATATATATATATATATATTCTGTATATATCCGTCTGTAATATTTATCTAACATATTGTAATTGGTGTACGAGTACAATAAAGAAAATTATATTCTATTATAGAGGAATTCTCGTAAATACCAAAGATTTGAACCGGTTGAGACATCTATAAAATATTTAATTAAATAATAGTAACACTGTTTATAAATCTATTGTCTCGAATGACGCACACATACAAGAATGTTTTTTAAGGTCACTGAGGTTCAAAAGTGGATGAAGCCAAATATAAAAATTGAGATTTATCATAAACGAATAAGATTTCATTTATTTTTTTTATAAAATACGGTATATATCTGTTAACCCAACTTCTAGTCTCTACACCGTAGAGTATTTGAGTTAAACGATTTAATGGTAATTTAAATTACTGTATTTCTACCCAAAGTCTTCGAAGTCGTCAAATCTCAAACTTTAGGTTGGCAATATCGGTGGCTGGTGACTAGTGGCTATGGGAACGTATACTCACCCACCATAAGGAATTCCCCATATAACCTAATGAGATTTTCAATTATTTTTTTATTTTTTCAGGGCTAATAATTGTGTTCAAGCACGATAATTTTTTCGGTGTCCGGTAGTAATTTATTTATAACTAGCTTTTGCCCGCGGATCGGTTATTGCGGTAAAAATTAACATTTCTTTCCTCAAGTTTCAAAGTCCATACCAAATTTCACCTAAATCGGTTCAGCGGTTCTTGACTCCCCATAAAAATTTAAAACCCCCTTTTCACTCCCTAAAGTATGATTTCTGGAATAAAAACTACCCCTTGTCCTTTCTCGGACTATCTCTATACCAAATTTCATCTAAATCGGTTCAGCGGTTTAAGCGTGAGAGGTAACAGACAGACAGACACTTCCGCATTTTTAATATTAGTATGGATTATATGTATTCAGAAATATTTTAAGTATGTTTAACAGCTGTCTGGTCACCATAGTAAAGGCTCTGCATAGTTTGAGATCAGACGGCCGTATGTTATGTGTGAGGTTATTGTTATTGTTGTTGACGGGCCTGTTGGTCTAGTGGTTAGTGCCCCTGACTGCTAAGCCGAAGGTCGTGGGTTCGATTCCCACCCAGGACAAATATTGTGTGATGAGCACGGTCATTTGTTCTGTGTCTGGGTGTAATTTATCTATAATATGTATTTATTTAAAAATATATAAGTATGTTTATCAGCGGTCTGGTTACCATAGTACAGGCTCTGCCTAGTTTGGGATCAGACGGCCGTGTGTGAGATGTGTGAGATATTATTATTATTATTATTATAACCGCAAAAATAGAATAAATGAACTTCAACACACTTCTTGTGTATTAAACCATTTCACAAAATACAATCTTAAACACCGGGAAGAGAATTCCAATACTGTAGGAACAAGATGACTGCTATTACTGTACCACTTTAATAATTAACCACAAGAACTATTTCTTGTTACTATAGAAACTCATAAGCAAAGGAATTTCAACTCTATATCTATTGAAAAAAAGTAGTTTTGTGATTGTACCCATTTAAAACAGTGATGTGTGGTGTCATTAAAAGCGAGTTTGGCCCTTATTTCACAGGAATAAAGTGTCATTTAGAAATTGTTGAACAATACATAGTGGTAAGGGTTGTCAAAAAAAGAAAATTAAAAGGTTTTGTGGTCAATCATGTTTTGAAACACGCATTCCTGAATGACGTATTATTAACAAGTTTGTTTCGAAGTTTTAGGATTCTTCATTCTTATCCGACTGCCAAGAAAGGGTTATTCTAACTCTTTGGTATTCTGTACTCCATAAAGTGAAGTTTGAATTTATAATCGAGATTAGTATGTTTTATTTCATAATTTCTGGTTTCTTCATCCCAAATTAGTCTTAAAGTAGTTTAATAGTAAAAATTCGTTTGTAATTTTGTTTATAAGAGTTTCACTGCTAACCACTGAGTTACCAGGGGAACAGAAAAAAAACCGGTCAGGTAAATTTGTAAGTACCAAAATTTATCTTAATTTTCAACTTTTTTTTATTTTTTGAAATTATTCCTTTATTTGTGCTGTAAGACGTTTCTTTTTGCCAAATTTCGTGATTCTAGGTCAACGGGAACTACCATATAGGTTTTCGACCCAAAACTTATAAGGTACTTCCGGTTGACCTAGAATTGTCAATTTTGATTAAAAGCAAGGTTTTACAGCACAAGTAAAAACAAAATTCAGAAAAATAAAAAAGTTGAAAATTAAGATAAATTTTGGTATATCATATCTTTTTATCGTGTAAAATCAAAATCAAGGCTCAGCTTGATTTTTATACATCTAATATGGGACCATAGACCTCAGTATCTGGTATAAATTTCAACTTGCTAGGTCTACCCGTTCCTGAGAAAATCGGTAGTGAAACACGGACTGACGGACAAGAAAGTGATCTTATAAGGGTTCCTTTTTACCTTTTGAGGTACGGAACCCTAAATAGAACTGATTGTTAAATAAACATTCACGCTTATAAAACTGCGAGTAAAAGCTACTATGTTAGAATATAGGTAGTGGGTAAATACTAAGCTTTTGACGTTCAATACCTTTTGTGTGGATTTCGGTCAAACTGTAGGCTGTTTTCAATAAGTGTAACAATACAAGCGATAACGATATATAT